CTGCGATATAAGCGGCCCAGGCTGCAGCGACGGCACCATAAGCGGCTCTTCCTTGGACGACAGCTCAAACCACTTGGCCGCAGAATCAGCATCCCACAGCCCCTTCCGAGCCGTGAACATGACGGCTCCGGTGCAATTAGCCCACCCCGCAGTCAGGGTGTCGTAGATGTTGGAAATAGTATCGATGATGAGCTGTGAGCGGCGAACGCTCTCGATCAAGATCCATAGCTGCCACATCGCGGACGAGGTCTCGTATTCGAGGTCGAGTTTACTTACGGCCCATGGACGCGGGCGGTTGCTCCGCGCGAGGATGTCCTCCCCTCGGTATCGCTTTGCTGCTTCGCACATCTGCGCGACCCACTGCCGTAGCGTTGGTTGTTGTTTTTCGGCGTGCGCGCGCGCGTGTACGGAGCCGTCGAAGAGCAGGATGAATTGGTAGATGAACAACGCATGTACGCGGGCTAGTTGCGCTCGTAGACCCTGCGCGCCGCCGGCGGTGCATGGGCATTGACTTGCGAGGGCGGAGGAGCGCCACTCGGCGATTTGGAGTATCGTCTCCTTCATCGCTGGTGAACGACCAATGTACGTCCCTAGAGTTGTAAATGCGTCCTGGAGACACATAGGTAAGCCTTTATCGTACAATCGCCGGTGAATAAAGCTATTATATCCGTTCCGGACCCAGGAATGCAGCATTTCTTCCACCGCGTGGATAAAGGGCTCCAGCTCGATATTAGCAGAGGTAGCAGGTTGTTTTTGGCTGTGCTGCAAGACCCACGTCTCGTCTCCGAGAAACCAGGGACTCGGCGTACTGGATGATGTATCATCGCCGCCTTCGAGGATAAGCCTCTGGGCTGATTGACCAGCTATATGCGCCGGTGGAGATGGGATGTATGGCATTATCATATCCGATAGTGAAAGGTCCAAGTCGGCAGCTCCCGCACCCCAGTCCCCGAATTCAAGACCGCCCGTCGGGATATCGGACACGGGCTCGACGTTGGCATCGGCATCAGCATCAGCCGGGTCATGATTCTGAATTGCGGGAACTTCCTCGGGCTGACTAGCACGCGCATTTGGATTTCTCCTTCGCCTCTTGGGTTGCGGATAAACGCAATCAACATCTCTGTCTATACATCGCTGACATTCTGGAAGCTGCTTATCGCATCCGCGCTTGGAGTCTGCGCAGGCGATGCAGGCTTTTTGGCGGGGAGTTGCGGGCATTCTGCGGAAAACTAAAATACGCCCTAGAGTCTAGAATAATTTTGCTAACTTTTTCAGCCCGTGGTTAATGTAGTTCCCCCTTTTCGAGGTTGCTTACAAATAGTCATTTTTCTGGTCAAGGGGGGGGAGGAGGCGAATTTAGGGTAAGTCTGTAAGCCTACGGCTGAAGAGTCTGGGCCGGAGGGATCCTGATGTGGGGCGTCATCGTAGGCTCACATCATACCAATATACAATACTTATTATAGTCTTATATACAATACTTACACCATTAACACTGCTCTGTTCAAAATGAAAACCATGAGTTTTGATAAGTTATACTCTGATTAAGACATTTATTTCTCATAACGCCATGGCTAATCTCGGGGCTGCGCCATCAACGTTAGATGGATGACAGACAAATCATAAGGACCATTATTCAGGTACGGCTATCCATCCGGATATCAGACCTCCCAACACCAAGGTCCAAAACATAATTGAAGAAACATGGGTTTATTTTCGGGCTGTGTTCTTGTTATAGGCTTTTCCGTAGGCTCTTGTACGGTGACAAACGGAGGCAAGCCGTCCTTATATAACCAACAGCGCTGCGGCCGTTTTTCTACGTCCTTGGTTTGGGGGCCCGTACGAGTGTTGTTGTAGGAGTGGTTTAAACAGGAAGCCATCATTTCTCTGCTCCAGTCTTGTTGCTGGGGGTGATACATAGTGCGAGATTGGCGGCGAGGATAGACCCGCGCACTTAGACTCTTGGACTGCTGGGATGGTTTACGACTGGCGATTGGGATGGTAGGATGGGATGAGGATGGCAAAGAAGAGAGAGGAGGAAAAAGAAGTCCAAGGCGAAACATGCTGTTAAGTAAGTAAATCCTCTATCATCCCTATTAGTTTGCTAATAACAGCGTAGCTTGAGCAACCACGCATTCAACTATTCACTAACCTTAGTTTTTTGTTAGGCTTCTAGGTAATATACAACGAAGGGTGTAGCTATTTAAAACGCAAAGTCACTGGCCTATGCCTTGGTTTAAAATATAGAGTGGAACAACGAGATACAACTCGACGATGGCAATTTTATTGTAAGCTAATCAAGGCCCGATGTTTACATACCTATTACCTTGAGCGTGTCTGCCTTGCCGACCCCGAGTCAATTTAGATTCTCTAGATAGGCTATCCAAGGTGATCAAATCTTTGCAAATTAACAATACTACTGATTGCTCAATTGCTATTGTATAAAATTTAGATGGAATAAATGCGACGAAATGCGGCCCATCGAATCGACGGTAACTGGACAACTCGCCATATTCACTATTATACGATGGCTACTACATTCTAGGGTAGATAGTCATTTCATGCCATATTGAAGAGTTAAGCCATATTCAGGAAAACTAACATAAGTTAGAAGTGCAATATGCCACAATGAAGTTGCAAGTTAGGCTATTAATTCTAGCTACTCGATCGGTCCGAAGACAGTCCATTGCTTTTAATCGTCGGGAATGTTGTTGGTCATGCGAGTTAACCTTGTGTGTTGGACGCAGGTCATAATCACGGGTTCCAGATGGATTACTCTGTTGGATGCCTGCCTAACTGCGTGAATGATTTCTATACCCTCCTCCCCCTTGTCAAATAAGTCGCGATAATTGGCCGCGTGAGTCACTTGCCTGCTGCCTACGTTTTATACAGATCATCTATAACATAGCCATTCGCCTTTTACTGATATTTTGGATATTTGGTCGATTATGAGAAAATCCACTTTATTGTTTTATGGTTGGCTCTATCAGGAATTGTCAAATGAGGTAGGTAAGTAGGCCCCTGTGTAGATAGGAGCTAATACGGATAGGATGTACTGCGCAGAGAATCTATCCCATGGTGTCGACCTCAATAGTCTCTTTCTATTGTGTGGAAGAGTACGGCGGACAAGAGTCGGACAAGTGTGTATCTAAGCCTCTATGCAGTCACTGCTTACAAGGCGATTTCAAGACTTACCATCATCCGCAGTATCGCGTTTTGCTCTTAAGCAAGCTATGATAGTGCCTCCGTTGTTCCCACCTTTTTTTTCTGACAAACTTCGATAGAGTAAATATAATTCGATGGTATCGAGGTGAAGTGAGGTTATCACAACCCAAGCACACAGGTAGTGCTAAGCCACTTTTGCGCAGACGTTATTGTCATGCATGTGTGGCAGTGTGGTAAGGCTGAAGAAAGTGTACGGCCTTAGCGCTCGGCGTTTGTTGGATGTCGGGGCAGATCGCAAGGCTGGGGGGCTCAATTCTCGACTTACTGTCGTATTTGCTGTTGAGGTGGTTGAAGTGGTGGAACAGGTAGAGGTAGGTAGTTGCAGTTACCTGGACCAAGTAGAAGAATCCTGGAATAACTTGTCTATAGGCATAGGTATAATCATGTGGCCAAAGAATCATCCAATAATGCATGTATATATCATTCCCGATAGTTAACTCGTTGCGACGTGTTATTTTCTATCCTTTATACTCTCCTAAAAATAAGGGCGGATTACCTATTGTCTAAACAATAACTGTGATTAGGGGAACCTAGATGATTCAAAATCCAGTAAACGCGCCGGTTTTGAGAGTCACTATAATACGGCAGGCTTATACAGGGACTGACTCGCATGCTATACTAGATTGAGTTGCGTGCATGCCTATGGTAGTATCCAGTCAGGCACTGTCAGGGGGGGCTCTCGTGACATACCTATTGGGGGCGCACTCCAGATCAGCTGTCACCAGGTAGACTGGACGAAATGCAACTATATATGTATTTCTTCTCCCACCATAGTTTTCTTCCTTCTACACCATACCTCCAGACTTGGTTTCCTAATCTTTTATAAACATTACCTATATTTCTGACAGACGAGTCCTAACAGGAACTTTGCCTTTTGCTTCTTCACCAACCTGGGAGCCTACTTACACCGCGCAAATATCGTGTTACAACTACGTCACCAAAACAAGGACGGAAATACACTATGGGCAACTGTATGAGCTCTTCGGAGCCAAGCCGAGCCTCGCGTCGTACGAGCGGTGCTAGACCAAAGCCTATATACGACTCACCCGATCACCCGCCCTGTGGGCTGCCCAGTCGGTCGCCCGGACGGAGACCGAGGGCCGACGTCCAAATAGGTGAGAGGGATATCATAATTGAGACGTGGGGAGGGGATGAACCGACGACAGAACGGAAGAAGACACGACCGTAGTGTCTGAAGGAACAGGGGGTTATTTACGCGCTTGAAGAGCAAGCCGACGCGGAGCCTTTCTGTTCTCTTCGACGAGGCTATACTCTTTTAATTGTTAATGCACATACATATACCCCTCCTAGCTTTGCTTTTGATGGGTGGATTTTGGGGAGCGTTTCTCTAGATATACCCTCGGCGCACGATGATGGTTTCCGATGGCGATGAGACGTGAATAGTGGAAACAGGAAAGAAAGGATAATCATTCTATCATTATATTTGAATTTACGCACGACCCGGACATTCTTTCTCCCTTGATGACATATGTGCATACATGACAGCACAAGATAAAATATAGATCTACTTACCCGTCTTGGTGACTTGTTTTAGGCGCATCTCCACAAGATCCCTTCGTATGAACTAGCCGCGACGCTAACTACATAACATGCCAACGCGCCCGATGGACGACAGGGGTTGACCTTTCAAAATAGGGATCCTAGTGCGTTCCTGCATGCGCACAAAACGACGGAAGAAGGGGGGAAATTATTAATAAAATGACAAAAAAAAAAGGAAGGTTGATTTTTCTCAATTTAACGAGAAGCATCAGGAATTGAGCCCGATGCGGGGGTCGAACCTATTCGAGCTGGGTTAGTACGTGGGTGACCATTGTAATGGATTTATCTATTTAGACTTACCCGCAACCTTGAGATTAAGAGTCTCACGCTCTACCGATTGAGCTAACCGGGCAGGCTTCGGTGAAAATTTTGCTTGCTAGTTTGGAACATATTCAAAGGTGTGGGTGAGTTTGAATACAGTGTAGAGACCATGGACCATTGCCATTGCCATTGCCATTGCCATTGCCATGGTAGTGGGATGGGACACATAGGGGAATAATAATTACTGTGTGCGCTCGTTGGTAATTTTTATATTAATGCCTTTAATAGGTTGGATCAATCAAGCTATCTGTAATCACTCCTATGATTGAGTCTCGGGTTGGGTTGGTACGGATCTATCTCCCTGCAACAACATCTTCCCGGCCCGGACGAACCGTGGAAACCGCGTTTGCTGCCGGCCGTAGCCGTTACACATGTGGGTCGGCCGGAAAGGATACCTACGGACGCATCGGTGGTGGATTATCTGTAATAACGTTGAATGAATGAATTCTTGATCACAGCATCGGCTACCATGAGAATTTTGCGTATGCCATCTTCATCTACTAGAAAGGGATGTACTTTGAGAATTGATGATACGAGTATCCCAGGAATGATAAAAGCTCGTTATTATAAAATAAGGTAGTTAACTATAACGAATTGTCCAATGAATTCAATGACTTTCTTCATTCAGTAAAAACGTGTACGCAACCGCCCATGTGTGTATAACATAACGCCCTAACAGCCGCCAAGCTGGTAGCTCACAATATGTTTCTGGTAAAAATCGAATCGCTATCCGTATCTCTATCGCTCCGTCTAAAATGTGTTTGATATCTTGGAAAAAGCTCTAAAAAGGGGTGGGTGAGAAAGGACAAAGGAGAGTGAAATTCCGAGAGGAGTGTTGTGTTTTAAGTGATGGGTATTATTAAGTGTCCCTGGTATGTACGAAGTGTCGTTCGTAATTACCGCGAAAAGGCTGACATGCTCTTGATCTCAGCGTCCTCCTCTTCGTACTCGGCCAGCTTCTTCCCTGGTAACCGAATAGCTCTGTCTAGCGCGACAGGCAGACCTCTGTGCCGACCTCTCAGCATGACTAGGATCATGACAATCTTGCTTCCGGTGTAGAAGCCACCGCTCAAGCTGTAACTCTTATCGGGTAGGCCGATACTAATGCCGATGTTGGTGTAGCCCGAGATGATCTCGAATAGGATGTTAAAGACGCTGTACGAGACGGGGTCGGTGAGCGAGTGGCTGGTTTCGATGAGTGTGATGAGGAAGAGCATAAGCGCTATCCACCATACGTCGTGACTAAGCTGACCACGAACTTGCTGCGACACTAAGCTGGGGGGACCGGTAGGCGGGTGGTTGTGGAGAGAGTGCACGGATGCTCGTCCGAAGTCGATGGTTTTGGACCGGGTGAGTGGCTTAATCGCTGGTGGAGGTGGAGGTGCGGAAACACCGACACCTTGGAAGGCCGTCATGCGGCGCTGGATTTGACGGCCAACGAATGCCGTACCACGTTGACCAACAGACTTAAGCCTACGAAAAGATACTGTCGTCGGTGTTCGCGAGACTGCATCCCAGTTCTTGTTTTCAGTCGTGACAGGCTGAAGGCCCGTTTCGCCCAGAATGTTAGCGGCATCGAACTCGACGACACTGCTGCTTGCGGAATGGAGTTGCTCCTCCTCTGGCTGGTCGCCTTCGTATATACCTAGGGATCGCTCTTCGTAGACGTTGGAGTTTCGCATAGTGATAATGTGCGGGTAAGCTGCTGTGTAGTACACGACGAGCCAAAGGACTAGGATATCGAAGTACATCGACGAAGGTGATACTATGGCGTATCCTCCCGAAGGGATTGCTGCTCAGTTCGTTAGCTCAAGATCTCGTCCAAGTCACTAGGTATCGTCGTCAAAGGAGCACTTACAGAATCCCTGGAAGAGGGCATCAAAAATCCGCTGGCCGACAGGAATTTCATCCATAGTTGGGTTTCCAATGCTGAGTAGCAAAATCAATACCCAATCCACAATCACAAAAGCTCCAAATGTAGCCGCAAACATCCAAGTATCCTTAGCAGGGAACAAACTCGTATACACGCGGCGAGGGAACTTCAAGATGAAATCGAAGCCCTCCTTCCAGACGCCGTACTCCTTATCTTTGGAACAAATGTTCAACAGAGTCGACATGGACCATATGATAAACCGCATGAAGACCGGGAAAGCCGCCGGGCCGGCCAAGGATAGTAGCGTGACCACAACAAGGAGGAAGTACGAAGACTGGAAGGGCACAAACCCCGCATCCAAGAGCGTGAAACCGGCGTTGTTGTACGCGGAGATGGCGAGGAAGATACCCGCCCACCACGGGTTCTGGGAGTTGACAGCCGCGGTATCGACTGCGTAAACTGACATCCAGGCACCAAGGGCGATGCCGCCGAAGAACTGGCAGAGCAGGAAGTACACGATGACGAAGACGGAAAGGAATTTGAGAGAGCGGTACTCGACACCGCCTAGGTACTCTCGTTGATCCTCCGACAAATTGAAGAACTGTCCATTCCTTCCGATATTTCGTTTTTGCTCATTCAGAAATGTCTGCACGTTGAACCCTTCGAACCCACTTCTCGATTCCGACGTATGAGATCGTCGTCTCGTCGCTCCACTGTGGCCTGTCTGCTGTGATGGCGTCTGGTAGATCGAGTATCCGGTTGAGGTCGTGCGGCGGTGATGGTGGCTTTCCAAGGTCTCGTCTTCTCGTACGGGCTCGAGGAAACCAACGTGGTGATGTTGGCCCCTCGGGTCCTCGACGCCAATTTCGGGGATCCCTGCCTCTTCGGAAGACATCCTCCTTCTGCTCGACGAAGACACGTTTCTAACATGACTGATCGGTTGAGATTTCTCCGGCGAATGCCCCTTTCCAAACGACGACATGACCTGCAATCCAAACATGGCACCCGTCATGCCCACGATCGCGCCGGTTCCAGATACCTTCTTCTTTCTTTTCTCGCGCTCCATCTTCACGATATCCTCGAATCGTTTCTCAAAGATATGTTTCCGGAACGCGATCGTGACGTACGAAATCAACACCTGGCTCCCGATCATCATCAGCACGCACAGCTCGACCTGCTGAAACGTCGTCAGGTCGCTGACGTTGACCGTGTTCAGCCCGGACGCCGTCAGCGCCGACATCACCATGAACATGCTGTCCCACCACCCCACGCTGTACTTGGGCTCCGACGCCCCCCAGAATATCAGCGTCCCCACGATCGTCATCCCGATAAAGTACGCATAGTGCAGCGTGATGTAGTTGACCGGCGGTAGGTACGGCCGTATGGCGTACGCCGCGCTGGTTAGTTTGTCATGAATCTTGGGATGTTTGTCGCCGAAATCCTCCCACCATTGGATCCCCATCTCTTTTTTTTCTTTTCTTTTCTCGCTTTGTTTCCTGCTCGTCACAGAACAAAGAAAACAAAAAGAACAAGAGAAAAAAAAAAAAAAAAACAATACCCCTATCACTTAAAAAAAAGAACGCGCCTCGAAATTTCGGCCCAGCCGTGAAAGGCAATTGCGACACTCTTTCAAAAGGCACAGAAAAAAAAACCCGAAATTATTCAAATGAGTGGACGGCGGCGGTGGAGTGACAGTGTTTTTCCCTCGTCCCAAAAACGGTGGCCTCTTGTTTTTTTTGTAACTGTCCAACGGGAGCACGAAAAGCACGGCCTATGTACTGCCCAAAACACAGATAAGATCACCAGGGTTCGCAGATATGGCCACCCTGTAGGATCCCGTATGTCCCGTATCCCGAAGTGGTATTCTTGTCCCTATTTAGCATCCCGCCGAGGTCAAAGGACGAATCGAATCTCTTTCATCTTTGCATGACAATTAATAACTATCTTAATTTAAAAGAACCGATTTCCCACTAACAAAGCCGTATATCGTAACTATCAAACATCTATCTAAGCCCAAGTGAATTCGTCATTATACTCCTGATTCGAGGCAGCACATGTTTGAAACATCAATATATTCTAGACCATGCAGACCCCGGCCAGCCCTGTTGGCTTGGTTAATGCTTGGTTTAATGCTTGATGATCCCAACTGACCGGGGTTGTATTACGCTATGCTCGTGGCAAAGCATTAAACGCGGAACATTACAAATTTGACCCATATCATATACCATATCATAATATAACATATAGTAACAAAGAAACGTAATAGCCTATCGTTCGTTGTGTACCTACACCTTTTCCGTCTCGCTGACTGGCTTAGCTGCCTTTTTGACGGATTTCCACTCTAAGGCGCAGCAAGACAAAAACGCCAAGCCGGCAAGCGGAATGGCAACCATTAGGACCGTATGTAGCGCCTCGTCGTACAGGTTAAGCAAGGCGGGAAGATGTTCGGGCGGGACAACTTTTCGGAAGGCGATGGCCCCTGCGCCGACGATAGCGCGGACGTCGAGTCCTGGAATATTCGTCTGTCCAATAAGACCCGCAAGACGATTTTGAAAGACGCTGTTGCCAACAGATATGAAAACAGCACCACCTAGCGATTGACACGCGACGACGGCAGCGGTGCCCACAGCTATATCCTCCGGCCCCAGAACCGTTTGGACGGCCGTGAAGCCTTGTTGGATTGACATGCCGAACCCGGCCGACGCGAGAATTTCGAACCCGATCCACATCGCCGTGCTCATGCTCGGATGGAATAACGTGATAATACCACAGCCAACCGTTCCGATTGCACTCCCAAGAATAGCTGGTGGTGTGAAGTAGCCAACAACCGAGACGAAGATACCAGAAAAGACGGAAAATAGCGCGTTTGCGACAAAGTACGGGATCATGGCAACGCCCGATTGAATGGCGCTGTAGCCTAGGATTGCCTGGAACCAGATCGGAAGAAAGTACGTATGCACCAGTAGAGCACCGTATGTAAAAAACGCCATTAGACACGATGCGGCCACGGTTCTCTGTTTGGCGATTGCAGGCGGAATCAAAGCACGGTCCTTCTTCCACCAGAACCATCCAACGAGCACGATTGCCGTGACGCCGGCACCACTTAGTAGCCCGATGATTTCTGCGCTGGCCCAAGCGGCGCCTGTGAGGGTGTATTC